TGCTTCTTGTAAGCAAGAGATTGTGGGGTTTTATTTTCTTATTCTGTCACTTTTTTCTTTTTATTTGATTATTTAATCCATTCACCTTTTAAGTTACAGTCAGATTTAGGTTTTTCTTCATTTGTATTGCTATTTCCCCCCTCGATTTGGGATTTGTTTTCATTCCTCTTCCTCTTTAAAGACAGTACATTGTTTCTTCAGTGATTTTTGCTTGCTCAACTTGAAGCCAAGCCTGTTTTTTCTGCTCTTTCTTTCTCAACCTCAAGGCCTCTCTGCCACAACCCCCAATCTCCTCCATTTATCACCTTTCCCTACTTCCGGAATTTTATTAACATATTAACTCCTTTTTCTTTTTCCATTTTATCTAGTTATATAATTTGTCTCCTCTTTCCCCCCCCTCAATCCTGCCTTTTCTCTTTCCCTTCAACTTCTTTTGTTTTTCCTTTTTTCATTTTTTTGCACCTTTTTCTGAAAATGATTCTATCTTGTTCTCTTCATTAGTTCTCTTCCCTTTCTGTCTATTCTAAACTTTTGTGCTTTGATTCATGGTCCTTATTAAGCTTCTATGTTTCTCCTTTAGTCCCCATGTTCTTCATGGAATTAAAGCTGCCAAGGTACATATTTTGGGTTCCCTCTTTTAAGAAATTTTTATGTTATTGCCTTATAGGTCTTTCCACTTTCCCCCTTTTTCTCTGTTGTGTCTCACTCTTAGAAGTATCAATTCTTGCAGGAGATAAAGAGAACTATTGTCCTATCATAGAAAATTTTCCATGTCTCTAATATTTCCTCCAATTCCACCCCCTACCATCCCCATGACCATTTTTGTTTTGATTTGCCATGAATTCTCCTTTCTGCATAGATGCACTCTCAACCTTCTGGATGCTGATTGCCCTCAGGAGCTCTGATTCCACTTTTGAGGCATGGAGGCACAATGCTTTCTGAATTAGGAGTCACTCTGAGCCCCAAATCCCTGAAGATTATACCTATTATTTTAACATCCTGTCTTTCATTACAGACTATTTCTTCCTACCATAGAAGTGCTTTTTAGTGGGATTCCCTCCCACTACTGAATCAAGATTTCTCCAATTATTTCCCCTATTTCAATCCCTCTCTTTTTACCACCTCACCAATTCTTCTGAGGTGCCTCTCTTTTTCCTGAGTGCCTACAGGAGTAATTTTTCCTTTTCTCATTATCATTAAATTGATAAGGGTATTAGGTAACAATGTACATTGTCTTCTACCTGTTCTACACTTTTATACTTCCATTCTTCAGTTTTATTCACAATACAATAATTGGTTCACCAGTACAAGGGTGTCTGTATGTATGTATGTGTGTGTGTGTGTGTGTATGTGTGTGTGTGTGTGTGTGTGTGTGTGTGTGTGTGTGTGTGTTGGGGTTTAGTCCATGGTGTTTCAGGTATGTTTTGCTCCCATCTCTTCTATCTCAGTTTTGTTTTCATCTTTATCTCTCTCTCTCTCTCTCTCTCTCTCTCTCTCTCTCACTCTTCTCTCTCTCTGTATACACACACACACACACACACACACACACACACACACACACACACATATGTGTATATATATGCAGATACTTTTTTTTTACTGGAATCTTTTAATGGGGCAGCTAGGTGGTGCAGCAGATAGACTGTTGGACCTATAATCAAGAAGAACTGAGTTTAAATCTGTCCTCAAACTCTTACTAGCTATATGACCCTGGATATGTCACTTAAACTCTGTTTGCCTGAGTTTCCTCATCTATAAAATGGGGATAACAATAGCACCTACCTGCCAGGGTTGTGAGGATCAAATGAGATAGTGATTGTAAAGCACTTAGCATAGTGCCTGGCATATAGCAAGCCCTATTTATCATCATCATCATCAATCCTTATCATCAGTTCTTCCTATATTCTTACTTTGTTGTGGCTTTTTTTTTTTACCTCATCGGGGCCCTTCTCATTCTCTTTTTATTTCTCTATCTAATAGAGATTCAGGGGTAGGGTAATTTATTTTGTTATTTGTACTTTGCTTGGTAGCTGTACTTATTTGCCTTTCTTGGTTTTCTGTTGCTCAGGTATTTGTAAGGTGAATAATGTGCTCATCTCTCTCTCTCTCTCTCTCTCTCTCTCTCTCTCTCTCTCTCTCTCTCTCTCTCTGTCTCAATGCTTCAAATGCTTCCCTTTTTATTGAACATTTATCTTTTTTTCATCATAATTAGGCTCAGATTTGTAGGATATGTCAACTTGAGTTGTATCTTGAGCTCCTTTGTTCTTCAGAATACAATATTCCACTCTCTTCTCTGGTTTCTAGTGGTGGTATAAAATTGTCTTGTGCTATTCACATTTTCTTTCTCTTTTATTTCAAGGTTTTTCTCCTGGTCATTTGCAGAATTTGTTGTTTGTCATCAGAATTACTAAGTTTAACTAATGTGTGTCTTGGAGTTTGTATCATATTTTTTCCCCCTGGAGGAATTCTATAGGTTCAATTGGCATTTTACTTTATTTTCTGTGTTCAAAAGTTCTGGGAAGTTTTCTTGTATTATTTCTTGAATTATGTTGTTCAAATTTTTGGATTTGTCATGTTCTTCTGGGAAACCTATAATTCTTAATTTGTCTCTGTATATCTTGTCTTTGAGATTAATATTTTTTTTGGTGTAGAGATCATGTTTTCTTTGAACATTATTGCTTGTTTTTCTTCCATATTTTTCTTAACTTCATTATATTTGCATACCCAATAACTTGTTCTGTCACTTCTTTAGAGAACCTAGCCACTCTCAACTCAAAATTTTCTAGTCTGTCAACTATCTCTGCTATATGTTTATAATAAATTCTGCTCTTATAATTCTTATTTCTTTCTTGAACTATCCATGTTCTTCTCTACTCTCTTGGTAATCTTCAGGGTCATCTTCCTCATAGGTTTTGGTTTGATTTCCTTTGTTTTACAGTATTTATTTATGGATAGTTGGATTTGTATAGATGTCATCTTCTCTTCTGTTATTAATATTACCCCTGTTGATTTGTCTGCTCATGCTCAAGGTCTTAAACTTCTTTCTGTGATCTTTTATAATTTCCAGCTGTTATGTTCCTTTAATGCTCACTTTTTGACTTCTCCCACTTTGATGGTATATCCCTGAGGGCTGGACCTTAACTTTTTGTAGGTTTCAGTCTCTTTCCCAACTAACTTCTAGGGGTGGTGATGGAGCGTGCAGGAACAGAACTGGCTCTAGGTTAGTCACGGTCTCCTTTCCTTCAGGCCTGGTACAGCCCCCTACATGCTGGTATCCTGCTCCATTCTTTCCATTAGTTAGTTCTTTGCCTGAGTGGCTGTTCCAGCATGCTGCTTTCCTCTCTCCTGTGTCTTTCTCCCCAAGCAGAGCGCAAGTCCATTTTCTTGTATGTGCCCTCCTCTTCTCTAGAGTAGGGTAGGTAGTTATGTTCTGCTGCTTGTTGACACAGAATCATTATAGGAGAGTAGGAGTAGGGTGTGTTGGCTGAGACTATAACAGCAACAAAGAACTTGCTGAATGAATCCTAGAGTGTAACTCTGAAGGTTGTGTGAAAGTGTGTCAAAGAACTCATGAAGGAGAGGGTGATTAGTGAATCACTGGGGATTAGATTTCTCTGCCGATAATATTTCAGTTTGTTACTCTGTTAGGGTTGTTGGTGTCTTGGCTTGTGGAGACGGCTTCAATTGTTTTACTTCTTCAGTGGAATTCTTATTTCAAGAATTTTGAAGGTTCTGGAGATCTGGAAAAATGTTTAGTCTTCTTGTTTCTTTTAATGGGGGACAAAGTTCTGTGAAGTTTGGATTCAGGCACAGGGCCATAATTGAGAACCTATAGGGCCTCATGTGGCCTTGAGGCTGCAGGCTCCCCACCCCTGTTAAGCTGAGGAAAATCATTTTCCTAAGCAAAATTTTAAGAAGTAGGAATGAGACAGTGTCAAAGATTTTGTGGAGGTGGGGCTAGACTTGGAAGGATTTCCTAGGACACCTAAAATCACAGGTGCTTTTTTCTTTTTCCTTTTAGTGGAAAAAGTGCTAGAGTTCAGAAACCTGCACTTAGATTTTGGCTCTTCCTCTCAGTGCCTTTGTGATTTTGGGCTGGTTGTCCGAGGCCTCTATTTCCTCCTCTGTAAAATGAGGAAGTGGGAACTAGATGATTTCTAAGGACCTCTGTAGCTGTAGCATTCTTTGCTCTAAGATTTCTTCCTATGATCCTGGTAGTAGATAGAAAGATTTTATAAGTAGGTGAATATCACTAAAGAGAAAACGGAGTCTCAGAAATGTGTCTCCAGCTGATTTTAAGTCATCTGTACAAGCACCCCAGCTTTAGAACAGAGAGGTGATTATGTAGGAAGATGCCCTTAGTTACAGATTCTCTTCCGAGAGGTGACAGCTTCCTTGTTCTGTTACTGACTGCCTTAAGAACATTTTTCTCTTTAGCTTTTTGTTTTCCCTGGTCCCTTATTAGAAACATTTCTTTCCTTAATCGTGTCCCCATGGGGGTAATGAGGAGAAAAAGAAATTTTGTTTTTGCCTGTGGTTGATATCCTACATAACAACAAAACATTTTGCTGTTTTTCTTGGGGGTAGAGTACAGCTGTGATTTCATCAGTGGAGGGAACTCTTTAGTGGGGAAGAACTCTCCACAGATGTAGATTAGCAACTTAGTGGTGATTTATAGTTTTAGAGAGTTGCTTAGGATAGTCAGAAGTTAAGTGAACTGATCAAGGTCATGTAGCTAGTATCTATGAGAGCCAAGACAGGAACCAAGGTCTTCTAGCCCAGTTTCCTCATCTGAAAAATGAGATTTGTTAAATCTCTGAAGACCCCTTACAGCTTTAAATTTGTGATCCTATAATTTCCTCAGCCACACATGAAAAACATTCTCTTTACTTTGTGGGTCTCACTTCAGATACTGAATTTTTGAAGCTACCAGGAACTTTTGAGAGAGATGAGCAGTATTTGGAATATTCCCTGATTGTGTGCTTTTCCCACCTTTCCAGATCAGACCAGTTGTGCACAGTGACATGGTTGTGCCTTCTAGGTGGCAAACATCCCATCGAAAGCCACGCCATATAAAGTAAGTATGTTATTATTTGTGACTGTGTGAAGTTCTCGGAAAATGACTGTCTCTCGTCTGGCAACAACTTCTGCATGTTTTCCTCATTTTCCTCTATAGTCCTTTTTAAGGGGAGACTGAATGACTGACCACTTGTTGGCAATGTTAGTAGGAGCATAGATTTAGAGCTAGGAGGAATCTTAGAAATCACTTCATCCAAACCCCTTATTTTATAGGTGAGGAAACTGAGACCCAGTAAAGCCATGTTACTTGCTCTAGCTAACACAGGAAGCAAGTAATAGAGCTATAATTATATATATATATATATATATATATATATATATATATATATAGTGGAGGACCTACAATTAGGTCCTCCAATTCTAAATCCAGTGCTCAATATTTATTTTGGAAGGAATTCCTCTATTAGGTAGGGTTTGGAATAGATCACTTTTTTTTTCTGTTTTGGTGAGGCAATTGGGATTAAGTGACTTGCCCAGAGTCATGCAAGCTAGTAAGTGTTATGTCTTTGAGGCCAGATTTGAGTTTAGGTCCTCCTGACTTCAGGGCCAGTGCTCTATCCACTGTGCCACCTAGCTGACCCTGAATAGACCACTTCTGAGGTCCCTTTCAGTTCTCTGATTTTGTTATCTCTTGATCAGTGTTTCTAGGACTTCACATTTCCTTTTATTTCTCCCTATGAAGAACCATGATTGTTCCCCATTCTGGCCTTTTGAAAAGTTATTCTTCTAGAATACCATCATAACAGTGTATCCTTCCAGGGTCTAGGACAGTGCTCATTGTAGCTTATTCTAGACAATAAATATTTGTTTAATAACATTTGTGTAGAGAGGCAAAGATGAGGGCAGAAGCAAATGAGACTTCGTTTCCAGTAGGTATTTAGTAAATACTTGGTGGCTTTTGTTGGTTCCTTTAAAATTCATATCTAGTGGCTGCAAAATGAAGTTTTTTTAAATGTATAGGAGCTTTCATTATCAAGAGATGTCTTGTTATGAGCAACTTTTTTTTTTGACAACACTGCCTCTGTAAGGCAGTAATATATGGTAGAAGAAATGGTGGTAGCAGCCTCAGTTTGAATTCTGTATCTGTTACTTTATGTAGCATGCACTTTAGAGCTGCAAACTTAACTCTCACTCCTACTCGTGAATCAGCATAACTGCTACATCTTCCTCAGGGTTCCAGGGGTAATCCTAAGGAGTTCAGAGTTTTTTTCCCCTAGAAATATGACTCCCAATATATAGAAATATAACAGTGTGCCTTCCTACCATGATTATCAGTTGATATCAATTAGCTAGACAGAATTTTTAGGATGGAATATTTACTGAGGTCTAAGAACAATTGGTACAAACATCTGAATATGTCTGACACATTTTCCCATAAGTAGATAGAGGCTGAGGGAGAGTGGGCTTCAGGCTTGGAGAGAACATGTGGCAAAGGAGTAACTCACAGTTCCTGGAAATCCTTTTGCTAAGATGTTCACCTTAGGTAAGTGGTAGTTTTTTTTTCTGCTGGGCTCTTTGCAGAATGAGGCTGGTCTCTCTTTGGCTCTCAGAACAAATTCCCAGGAATTCAAGTATCATCTCTCTGCTGATATCTCCCAGTTTGATATATCCAACCTCGTTCTTTTTCCTTAGGTCCAAGGTCCACATCACCAAATGAGAATTGAAATATTCCGTCTGGATGTTCTATAGGCCTCTAAAACTCAACAGATCTAAAACAAAACTCATTATCTTTCCCCCAAATCCATAACTTTTCTGAACTTTTTTTTCCCTATCAAGGGCAACACCATCTTTCTGGACACTCAGGTTTATTACCTTTGTGTCATTCTTGGCTTGAATTAAGGTGGTATAGCCTTGTGAGTGGAAAGACTGAGGCAGATATGAGAAATATTCTATAGAGAATGCATTCTCTTCTTGAAATGCCAGGGCCAAAGTTTAGTGAAATCAGATTTTTGAAAAGGTTTATATAAGACTGAAAAATATTGATCTGCAATGTGGACCAGTCATTTGTGTATTGGGAGGATTTTATTGACAAATATCACCAGTTTGTTATGCTAAACTTTGGCTGAAATTCTTGGATGTTTCACTTAATACATGGAAAGTATGGTTACAGGACCCTTAAGCATGCAGAAATACCAAGCAATTCTAAAACAAATTCAAACTAGTCTAACCATCATTTAAGCAGCTGTTATGTGCAAAGCACTTTGGTATGTACTGGGGATTCAGAAAGAAAACAAAAACATAGTCCTTGCCCTCAAGGGATTAATATTCTGCTGGGAAATACAGAAAATTTTCTTAATGAATTTAAAAAGATCCTTTTCTGATTGAGAATAAATATTGGAACTTTTGAGACAAACTGTGGGGTCTTGTTCATAAGTTGGCATATTCGTGCCTATTTTTATGCATAAAACCTAAAGACATTGATAACTTAAAGTATTGCATGATTGGGTTCCTTCCCTCATAACCTGCCTCCCTCCACACCCACACATAAAATGATGAACTGTTATGTTGTGTAGTCCTTGCTTTATAAAAATGCCCTGAAAATTCCACTAGATGGACCCAAATAGCCATCCAAATACAATTTCTTTTATTCTCGAGATTTGACATCCTAAGTATACAACCCCCAAACTGGTTATGTTAGTTGTAATAAGCTAAGACATTAAAAGGGATGCAGAATTACTGCTTCTACTTTATATACAGAAAACTTTGGAACCTAATAGAGGGCTAATTGTCCAAATGACAACATTGGCTTGTTTTAGGTTGTAAATTGTAATAGTTTAACTTGTCTGAACTATGTGCTAAAGGACCGAAAAAAATGGTTTGCATGACCTCAGGCAATTCACTTACCCTCTCAACCCCATTTTCTTCACCTGTCAAATGGATATATCCTATCCAAAGCTGTTATATAAAAGATGAGATAATGGCTATGGAAGTGCTTTTTTTCCCCTTTCTTTTCTTTCTTTTTTTTTTTTTAAAGCTCCTTGTAAGATATCTAGATCAGTGGTGCCACTGGTGTGGGGAAATTCCTGTTGTGGAAATTCCCTTGCAGGTGGTGATAACTTTGAAGGTAGAATTTGAACCTAGGTCTTTTAAGTTCTAAGGCTAGCTCTTTACACATTATACCACACTGGCTCTAGCATGATGTTCTAAAAAAATGCAGTATGATATGAATGGAGAGCTGACCTCAGAATCAGAAAGACCCTGAGTTCAAGTCCTGCTTATGATACATACTGACCATGTGACCCTGGGCAATTCACTCAATCTCTTAGTTCCCTAGATAGTTTTTGATGAAAAGTTGCTAAAGAAGATGCAGAAGTACATTGGTAGAGGAACTTCTTCCTTGAGAGTCCCATACCCTGCTGAAATCGCAGGTGTGGTTTAAAAATAAATTAAAAATATATAAGATATAATTACATATTTTGGGATGTAAACTGTGATTGTTATTTAAATCTCTTTCAGAAATAGTCACTTGTCCATTCCTTTAGAATGAATGTGTCATCGTGGGTAGGTTGGCCTGGGGTTTTTCAGTTTCTCATCTGTTTTTCTCAGTCAATAAGCATTACTGAAGGCCTGCTATTTATCAGTCACTGTGCCAAGTGCTGGGGATGCAAAAGCAAAGCAAAGGAAACGAATAAACAATTTCTGTTCTTAAGGAAGCTCACAGTCTAATACGGGAGATAGCATTAAAACAACTCAAAACATACAAGACTTACACAGATTAAATTGGAATAATCAATAGGGGAAAGGCAACTGAGGCCCAAGATCTATGTTAGGGGTGCAAAAACACCTCTCAGTCCCTGCCTGCTACCAGAATGTTCTAGTGGATGCTGGTTCAAATCATAAAAGGGTAGAACATTTAAAACATGATCATTTTCATTCATTCATTCATGCATCCATTTATTCATTCATTCATTCTGGCTCAACCTTCTCATTTTAAAGATGAGTAATGATCGAGACCAGAAAGAAATGTCAACTTAAATTGCTTCCAGTTTTTGATCTATGTTGCCTGAAAATCACAGCTCAGAGGAAGCTTTCCCCCAATCCCTATTTTTTCCTTTAACAAAACTAATATTACAGTAATACATGTAGAACAACTACCATTTTGATTAACATTTACAAATAATTTTTTTCTTTAAATAAACATTCTAGCTATTATCTAATTTTATCCTCAAAACATTCTGGTGAAGTATAGAAGGCAAATGTTATAAATTTTCCATTTTACAGATGGTAAATGGAGACCAGAGAAGGATGTCAATGAGCTGGTGATAGAACCAGTTTATTGTTGTTCGGTTATTTCAGTTGTGTCCGACTCTTCATGATCCCGTTTGGGGTTTTCTTGGCAAAGTTACTGGAGTGGTTTGCCATTTTCTTCTCCAGCTCATTTTACAGATGAGGAAACTGAGGCAAATATGGTTAAGTGACTTGCCCAGGGTCACACAACTAGTAAGTATCTGAGGCCAGATTAGAACTCATGAAGATGAGTCTTCCTGACTGCTGTCCCAGCACTCTATCTACTGTGCCACCTAGCTGCTGACAGAATGTGGGTAAGAGCCAAAATCTGACTGTCTAGCAGATATTTTTTTTTCAGCTTAGCTGGGATAAACTAAAGCCATTGTTGCTTGGTGGCACTGGACCTCATGCAAGTTAGTTCTTGAGTGTGAGTAAACTCCTCAAAGAAAGGCGGTGATGGGTCATCCAAGCTAAGCAGTCACAACCAACTTCTCTGCTCCACTTTCCTGCCCCATTTTGGTCAAGAGCCAGATCCTGGTCATAGGCGTGAGTAGTTTTAGAGAAGCCATGCTGATTTAGCATTTCTCTCTGATGTCTAATCTGCCCACTGTGTTCCTGGTAGCAACACAGCACTGACTCCTCCCGCTTTCTGTTTTTCAATCAATAGTCAGCTTTGAAATGGCTCAGGCAGAAGTGGCTGCCCTGTTTCCATGTGTGCCTGTCCATTCTCAGGTCTCATATACCATTTCCTTCCCACTAAGAAGCCTGCTG